GGGGGGGGGGGGGGGGGGGGGGGGGGGGGGTGTACTCATAGTCGTGCATGCCGTAGTCGTTAGACCATTGACCTCGCATCCCACAAAGCCGGGACGGAGCACGCCGGGTTCTCACCGGACCAGGGGAGCGGGGGCGGCAGAATGACAGGCTTGGTGGTAAGTGTTGGGGTTGAGAACGACGGCGTTTACGAACAAAGGAATAACGACCTCTGCGCCGGTAGTCGCTCGCAGGCATCTCCTGTACGAAGGGTAATGAATCGTCGACAATCATTATCTACCAATCAACACACCGGCGAATCGAACACCTCTTGATATTTCGTTCCGCGTACCTGCTCGACCTTGGCGTTCGCGCCGGAATACAGCACCAGCCATGTGCTCTTGTTGAACGAGCGGCTAGCTCCAAGGTAGATGTCAGTAGGGTTATGCGTCTCGGGTGTGGAAGAGCCCTAAATGGGTCGAAACCGGGGCCAACAGAACGCCGACGAGGGGAGGGGCGAGTGAATTTTGTTGCAAGTAGCTCGGGGGGTGGCACCTACGTGACGCCTACAAAATGAAAGGCGAGTGTGTGTGGTGACGCATGCCGCGCAAGGTGCCTGCCCAGCAGCAGCGCTCGGTCACGTACATAACGCCGTGAGCGGAAAAGCAACGACAGTTTTCCGAGTTGCTCGGCAACTCGGTAGCTAAAACGGTGTTGATATTCACCTTGCGCAGGTTGCTGTCGACAACGGACAGGTCAGCCTCCATGAGATCCATTTTGCATATGCGTTGGTCATTGTCCAGCCGCGACTCTGTCTGCAGCACACGTGAAAACGCAGGAACCGTCACACATCGAAGTTGGTTGTGGTTCTCCTAGACAATATTGAGAAGGTGTGGGGAGGGAAAAGGTGTTCGCCCGAGTTTTTGAGTTGGCTTTTGCGAGGTCCGCTGGTAGATCGCTCCTGCAACAGAATAGTGAGCGCATGGGGTCGTATCGCGCAACGTCAGATCATCGTAGTGGGGGGATGGAACATCGGGCTACGTAATGACCACGCCTGCGACAGAAATCCCCGCCTTGCACTTCCTTCTCGCGAAGAGGACGGAGGGCATGCATGCCGCGTGGAAAGTGTACTGACATGACGGCATCGTCCTTTTGCAGAAACACCACTGAACCGGCGACAACGAAACAACATTGAAGGGTGCCACCAACGACAGACGATGAACACGTAGGGGAACTCCAGGTGTTGCGAAGAGAACATGTGTACCTGCTGTTTCTCTCTGGCAGTTTGTGGCGGCCGGAGTGAGACCGATGGGGGTGCCCATTCGGCTACCACAGCCGTACCCCGGATGGTGCGCGCGATATAGCCCTCGATGTCGGGCCTCCCGAAGTTGACGGCCACGGGGTGTTGCCCACGGGGGCGCCCCTTTTGGACTTGGCAAGGTTGGGGGCCCTTGCGCTTCTTTCCTCGCCGTTCTCCTCCTCCTCGTGCGCTCCGGGCGCCCGCTTGAACCTGATAGCGAGATTTATCGTCCGTGACAAAGAGTAAACCAAGCCACCCGTACAGCGTTCATCTGTGATAGGAACGTAGGTGCACCTCCCAATATGCCTACCCGGTCGAGCTGCCTATGAGCCAAGGCACCTTCCCATCTTCGAAAGTTCATATTGAACGCTTTCTTCGCCCATCAGCCGCACCGAGGTAAGGCCATTTATTACGGTTCCTTTTTTCGGCTGTCTTTTTCAATTTTCATCCCAAAAAAAGACAACTGGCCAAATAACCCCTTCTTAAAGATCGACAACCCTGTAGCAGGCCAGTAGCCATAATATGAGTCTGTACAATGCAACAGGGAATCTTCGCTCGATAGGCGCCAGGTGCACAAACATGTGGTGACTGATCAAGAAGATCTGAAGGCAACACTGTGCAACTTTCTTCGAGACCCGGACAATAGGAACAAGGCGGCCGAGACTCCTTGTCAACCACTTCCCATCTGTCCTCATCGGTGCTGTCTTCCCCCCCACTTCCGTCCCTCCCATCGCAATCGATATACAGTACCTACCTTTGAGTAATCCAGGAAATCTTCGCTGTCGTTGTCCGGACCGCTCTCCGGTGCAAACGCAGAACTGCTCTCCGGGTCTTCCTTGAGCAATCCCAGATACTCGTCCATGCTGGCCTGCCCTGTTGGGAGCTCCGGTCTGCCAAGGACATGGGCGCTCTCGAGAGCGTCAACGACGGCAGTGGAGTCCGAGCGGTAGGATGACGGTCTGGAGGAGAAAGTGGAGGTGTTTGCGGTAGTGGCTACAACTTCACGCCTCGCCGGCGCGAGGAGGTCTACCATCCGTCTCCTGGTCTTGTCACTTTGCTTCCCGGTCAGGTAAACGGTGCTTTTAACCTGGCGCAACTGTTTCGGGTGCGTCCAGGGGGCAAAGGCGGGCACACCCGGGCAGGAACGGGAGAGAGGTCGGATTTCGAGAGCGAGGACGGGGAGGGCATCAACATCCTGAGGGCCTTCGTGCAACACAGTTCACATGCGTGGTGATCGACGATCTCGTCCATGTGAACTCGTTGGGGAGAGAGTTCTGCGTTCGTTCTGCTTCCAAACAAATGGGAGTGGATGGCATGAGGACACACGCAATCCATATAAACACACAGGAGTGTGTCTTTCGAACACGATGACATGCCGGCAGATCTCACGATCTAGGAGGCCCCACCGAGACGAAAGTAAGTACAGAGCGCAGTGTTGGCCAATGTATCAGTTCCCCCTGCTTGGAGGACCGGCTGACGTTTCCCCGCGCTTCCACCCTAGGGACCCAGCCCAAGGATGGACGAGCACAACCAACCGTGATTCCCTGCTTGAGCTCGTGGAAACCGAAACAAATGTGTCGCTTCAGTACACCGGCAACTCCAGTCACAAAAAGAGAAATCCATGTATGCCCGCCACCGCTTGCACCCCCTCGTCATCCACACCTGTTTTTCGAACATGGCCACCAGTCCTGCGTCCCGACAGCACCACAGCAGGTGAACGTTCTTCGTCTTGCGGAATCTGACGTGGCGGCGGCAGTTTGTGGGGCCCAAGAAATCGTACCCGTGATGATGGTTCAAGATGTGCGGGAAACGACGTGGCGGGAATCATGAGCTCTTGAGGAGACCTATTGTAAGTACCGATGTGGATGTGGATGCGGGATGTGGTACCCACCGCGGGTTGTTTTACTGCACCCGCACGGTGAAACGAGCCAATAACTAGGTGAAGTTGTTCCACACCTTCTTGCCGATGGCTTGGAGGATCTATCGACAGGAATGTGTCAAGCAGCGCAACAGGGAAGTCCTAGCTTCACCCATGGCGATACCTTGGATGATGCACGCCAAATGCGGGCTTACGGTGGTGGTCACAACACCCCTGAGGTGAAGTCAAATAGCACACCGAGCATGATCCCGCCACAAACGACCGTATAGTCTATGGCATTCCAAAACAGATGAATTGTTCAATTGTGGGGCGCGTTTTTTTGCCGTCCCCTGTGTAGAACCCAGTAGCGAAAATATATTCAAGCATTTGTTGCAGCCGTACGAATGTGAGGACCACGAAGGACAAGTTGTGCCAAAAGAAGCTGACCTTTCAGCGACGGAGACGGCCGGAGTTACACCCACTCCCGTGCAAACCAACAACACTGCGAATTGTTGAGTATGCATTCGTTCGCGACCGTGTTGGCCGGGACGGTGGCAGACACGAACAAGGGTGCGAGTGGGTATGGGTCGGGTTAGAAACAGGGGTGTGGCGTTTTCGAGGACGTAATAGCAGTGCTGGAAACAAAACAGATGGATTGGTGTTCTTCCCGTCCAAGGAGACGCCCGTAGTGCTCTCCGCTCTTCGGGTTTGTGCTAACAGCCTACCTATTGCATAGTGTGGGCGCTGGCCTCAACCTTTAAGGGGACCTCGCACCCGCGTGGGTAGATTCACGCATGCGTTGATGGCTGATTCCTTGCATGCAACGCTCCATGCAAGCACCGCAGAAGGAAGGCGCAACGAAACGTGCATATCCGGCGGGATTCCGGCTTGTGCGCCAAGTGGGTGGTGACTGCTGTGCCGGGATATGAGTGATTACAGTATATCCCCCGAGTTCAGAGGATTGGGGTAGCTACCACCGACTTACATTTGGCTCGCGTTATCTACAGGCGATCAAGCAGCGTTGTGAACAATTGGTGAATGAGTTGTGGCGTGGGGTACACTATTCCCGTTGGCCGAGCATCATCATACCATTATCGAAGTAAACGGCCTGCTCCGCTACGCTGGGCTGTGCGGCGGTGATCCACAGGGGCATCCTCGGGTGCTCGAGGGACAGGCGGAACAGTTCGTTCGTCCAATCACCCACCTGATATGGTCGAATTTTGCGGCAAACATACGTTCTTATGCATACGACGCGGTCAAAAATGGAGAAAGATACACCGAGAAACGACGGTGCCCCTGCCACCTGCCGCAAGCCGCACTTCAAGGTTAGGAAGTGGCTTTACGCGGAACGGAAGACACGGAACGCAGCAGTGCCGATGTTTACCGAGACGAACCGTCACTGCCTAAAATCGGTAGAGACAAGATGCTCGCCCACACGCGGATCAGTGATTAGTTTGGAATCGGATGCGCCATTAACTCTCACCGCCTCCACGTGAAGACCCGCTCTTGGATTGGGCCCCGGAACCGGGAAGAGGGAGAAGGGGTGCCACTCCGAAACACTTATCGCCGGGCAATTCACCTGCACGTACGCGCCAGGCTGGTACTTGTACCCACTGCCGAACATTTTGATATTCGAGAAGCAATGTTTGTCAGCGAGCGACGTTTTCATGTTGCGTGAACATTCCTGGCGGCGGTCATCTACGGTGCGCTGAAACGGTTTCCTTTCAGGTTCAGAAAACATGTCGCGCATGGGTTAATTTGCAACCGCCCTATTGGCCGGGCAAGAAAATCGTATCTTCGCAGGTATAGGAGCTTGGGTACCATATCCTATCTCCCGTGTGCGTCTACGAGGAAAAAAAGTAGGTGAAGAACGGTTCGCATCGTGCAGTCTCCATCCAACAAGGCGAAAAAGTGTGGTGTTGACCTTAGAGCAAGATGACGTTCTTGCCTTGCACCCAGACCCGTTGCGAAAACGTCTACAGTGTAGTTCAACCCGAACGATTCCTTGTCATTGCGGTTACAGTGCTACGGCAGTGTTGGTAGGCGTGTTGGCTTGTTGTATACCTCACACACCAAACTGATTCAAACACCAAGGTCGTGCAGAATGATTGTCTGCTTCTGTCTCCGTTTGTTGACATTCTCTCAATAAATAGGAACTAGGTTACCCGAAAGCCCCCCCCGCCCATTGGGGGGGGGGGGGGGGGGGGGGTGTACTCATAGTCGTGCATGCCGTAGTCGTTTGACCATTGACCTCGCATCCCTACAAAGCCGGGACGGAGCACGCCGGGTTCTCACCGGACCAGGCTCTCACATCACCAAGCGCGAAGCTCCGTGAGGTATTTGGCGAGTCGCATGAAGGGTGAGCTGCCATCCTGCTAAGGGTGTTCGGCATCTTGTGCTTACTTCCTTGCGTACGGATGACAGCTACGTATGACTTAATTTATTTTCTGGTGCTTTCACTTCCAGAGACAGTTGTAAGCACTGTGTAACTGCCTCGAGGAAGCTTGACCATTTTAACACAACGTGGTGCGATCATCCCCCGTTGCGCGGAGTGAGGATTCTCCACCCCGCACAACATGATCTACTCGACCACCATTATGGTTACCGCCAAAAAAAAAACCAGAGGTAAAAAAAAAAACGGTAACCTGGTTGCCGAGTTCACGAAGTGAATTGGCTTGTTTTACAACGTCGTTGCCAAGCGACGAAAACCCAATCCCGATGGCAAACACCGAGTGGGGGGCTTGTTTTACAACGTCGTTGCCAAGCGACGAAAACCCAAACCCCGATGGCAAACACCGGGGGGGGCGGGGGGGCACAATTCGAAGAGAGTTGAGGAGATGTCACCGTACGTGTGAAGGACGTGAATGATCTTTTGCGAAGGGAAAGGAAATATGCCGATACACATATTGTGAATGATGAAGGTATGCATGTGACGAGGTTATGGGTAAGTTGCACAGGTGACAAGGTCGGTACAGCCCGAAGATGGCACAGAGAATCCGTCGAGACAGACGTGGCGCTAATTCCAGCTTGACCGGGTAGGAGCATGGTGTGCACGTAATGGCAGGAATGAATGATGAAGAACGTGAAATAAGTAGTTGGTATGATTATGTGTAAAAGACGCACGTGAAGTGCAAGTGAATTCTGTCGCACCCTCCCAATGCACACGCACGCATATTGGTACATACTACGCAACTTGCAGATCGAAAACGGATATCAGATCCATAAGTGCACGGGTGAGCCCGTGCTGAAATGAAACGACGTCCAATGTTGCATGAAACATTCCAGCCAAACAAATACGGCAGGCCGCCGTTGAAGGGATAAAATCAAAAATTCGCATGCCGAGATGCCAGAAGCAGCTTTGGAATTGTGCCGTAAAGGCCAATGAAACGTATATGAGGATGGCGCAAGGACGAAGACGATGGGCCCCTGAAAAATACGCGAATATACGAGAAAAAAAATACTGAATTAATATGATAGCACGGGATAGTTAACCAGCACGAACCGAGCATTCCGAAAGCGCGAACGTTCCAACCTATACTAAGGAATGCATTCCGAAAAAGCTTGATCGCAAAGAAAGACAGTGCCAAAGGACGAAGGCGAAGAATTCGCGCGTGTGTTGCAGAAGAGACGATGCAAAATAAAAAAGATGAACGTGGAATACTCGGTGAGAACGAACCGAGCATTCCGAGAGCGCCAAGGGCCCAACTTATACTCAGGAAAGCATACCGAAAGCTTACTAGCAAAGACAGTGTCCGAGGACAGAGGCGACGCGCATGAGAAGTGGCGTGACTGTTGCCTAAGAGACCACAGAAAAAAAAAAAAGATGAACATGGAATTCTCGGCCAGGACGAACCGAGCATTCCGAAAGCACAAAGGGTCCAACGTATACTGAGGAAGGCGTACCGAAAGGCTGAACTTCGTCGAAGATAGTGTCCGAGTACGGATTGGCGTGACTGTTGCCGAAGAGACGATGGAAAATAAATATAAAACATGAAGAACATGGAATACTCGGTGGGCACGAACCGAGCATTCCGAAAGCGCAAAGGGTCCAACCTATACTCAAGATGGCATACCGAAAGGTTAGTCGCAAAGACAGTGTCCGAGGACGAAGGCGGAGCTGCACGCGTTTTGAGAAATGGCGTGGCTGTTGCAGGCGAGACGATAGAAAATAGGAAATATCAAAATAATGCAGAAAAAAAAGTTCCTGTCACACCTGTACATAAGAAATGAAGGAGGATGGAAGCAGGTGACGCGCTCCACGGAGGAAACGGAAAGAACAAGAAGAAAGCAGTCAGGCAACGAAGATACGTACACGCAATGTAGAGACCAAAACATGAAAAAAACTACCATTCAGTTTACCAATGAGAAGCAGACGTTGAGGAGGGAAACGGGAAAAGAAGCAGAAGGTGCATACTTGTACAGGTACAATAGCAGCGGGTTGAAAACAACGTTGTTCACCGTGGCGTACCCATCACGATTAATTCTGTCGTGGGTAGTCAAAATAGACTAATCATGCCATCTGACCTACAAACTCGGGATAGACCGACGTACAAATGACCGTGCGCGAAAGGATCCTGCGTGAGGTCCAAGCAAGTACACGGTCAGGCGTTTGTCCTTGGGCACGGTGGACGGTGACGCTAAAAAAACACAAGCGCACGGGGAGAATTGGACCCTCTTCGCGGCTACTCCTTGCCACATGACGAAGCTGAAACTAATACGAGGAAGCCAGTGTATGGTTCCGTGGTCGTCCAAGGTTTGACCCTGTAGAACATGTGCCTACTGTCCAACACAACGACCTTCGACGATTGGTAAGATCGTGCTGTGTGTAGGCAATTGCAGTACAACTGCTGTACAGCACTGCTGCTGCTGCTTCGACCATACGCATTTGTATGTCCCGACCGCAACTACTGGTGACAGACCGTCTCCAGTACGTATCTCCTGGAATGCCGTTCTCTCCGACGCGTTATGCAGTGAGGGCGCTCCTAGAATCATGGCATGGCGTCTATACATGATGAGCACGGTACGCATATATCCGCCAAAGACTCAACCCAGTCACACAACAACAAACTAATATCCGCAAGACTCCACCACAACATAGACAGCAGTAGTCCATTTTCCTGTCCGTACGTTTATGCATACCATATTTGCCACAATATCGCACACCGTGTCTACTCGCCTGCGTACGTCGTCTTCGTCGGTATATTGAGGTGTCTTCGATCGGTGGTGGAGACCATAGTATCACACAGGGTGATGTTGAAACGTTTACTTGTGGTCGTGGCAGGCGTGCGTATGTGGGTTATGTGTAGTGGCTTCCCGCGAGACTGTCGGGAACGTTATGCGAGACAGCAGAACGATCTTGGTGACGTTCTTCGAAATTTCTGTTTCCAGTTGTTCTCGGGTGGTGGTGTGGTTGTGGTTTACTGGATGTACCAGGAGGGCACGATCTTTACCCATCCGTGCTACAATGTCCCACATACCTTGTGTGCGCGTGTCGTTGTCGATTGTCGCGTGAGGCCTCCTGTACGAACCTACAGTAGTGGGCACATGCTGTGCGTGTACCCTGCATGCCGGGGAGTGTGCTGGTGACAACGGGTCCTTTTTTCGTGTTGGTTTTCAGCAACATTCTCACACGCGCGTTCGCCATCTAGGCGCTGCCAACGCTGAGGGAATGGTTGGGGTGGTATCATGAAGACGCATACGCGGCTGTGCCGTATCGTGCTGTGTGTAGGCAATTGCAGTACAACTGCTACAGCACTGTTGCTATGTAGACCATATGTATGTGCGTTTGTATGTCCGGACCGCAACTACTGCTGACAGACCTCCGCCAGTGTGTATCTCCTGGACTGCCGTTCTCTCCGACGCGTTTCATGCAATGAGGTCACTCCTGGTATCATGCCACGGCGTCTATACATGGTGGGCACGGTACTCATATATCCGCCAAAGACTCAAGCCACTCACACAACAACAAATTCATATCCACCAAGACTCCACCCAGTTACACAACAACAGCAATTTTTTTTTGTATTTTTCTTCATATTTTTCGTAGTCTATTTTCAAGTAAAATGACGGCCCACGGTCGACGACGTTCTGGGAGTATTGTAATTAATTAACATGATCCCCAAAGCCCCGTTATTGATGCCTGTCGCCAGCGAGACTCACGCTGGCAGATCGAACCGGACTAGCGTGCCCCTCCCGACTGGCTTGTAGATCGGCGAACTCAACCTGAAAGTCCTGTGTTTTTAAGTGAAGCGGGTGCGCAACATATATATACATATTGTAGTACCGGAAGGGGACAAAGCGGATAGTGTCTCTCCCAATTTCCCCCCGTTGTGCAGCTCATCATTCACCAGACAAGAAATATCACCTTCTCCGGCATAAGGCGTGCCCACGATCGTCGCTACAGAAGAAACGTGACCAGGTTGACGCTTCTCTTTGTACCGCGGATGAAGAACATTTGATCAACGACAAACTAGCGGCGAGTGGACAGTGCTCCCCTGCACTTTGGAGTGCGGCAGAAAACTGACTCAATATTGTATACGTATAGCGTGCGAATCCGCTGCGTGTTGCTCTTCTGTAGGTTCTTCATTTTATCTGTAGTTCGTGGGGAATTCCCTGCGACTAGTCATGGACTGCGCAATCCCATCGTATTTCCTATTACTGCTCAACACTGTCCTACCTATGCTTCCTCTCTGCAGAACGATTGATGAACACAACACTGAATACACCAAACGGTGAGAACACCGAGACATCGCCACTTGTTGTTGGCATCATCCATGGGCCAACAAGGAACGCCCAACACGAATATTTCAGCTACCTGTTCCGAAGGTAAGGACACAAAATAGCCGTATGCCGGACGCTCACATTCTAGTTGTGAAATAGAAGCGATCCAGCAGGTACCACACCAAGAGCACGGCGCCGAGGGCCTTGAGTCGCGTCCCGTGGAAGCAGAGGGCCACCATGAATGGAATGAACAACATATGCAGATACTTCCTCGTCTCGAACGTGACCTGAGGGGATAATGTCCGAAAGCAATGAAAACAGAGACAGAAGCGCACGCCGGGGGCGAACGTCGGTTAGCACAACATCTGCACCGGAGCAGAACATCGTCAGGGGAACATCTACCAGGACCTGGGATATGTCCAAGCAATAGTGTTGGATGAGCTCGTCAGGGACGATGGCAGGAAGGAGTGCAGCCAACGTTCGATGGATCGATGTCTTCTCTGTCATGTAAACCCGATTAGCACCACAGAACGTTTGCAGCCAAAGTAACGCATGTGCCACAGACAGACGACAGCAACAACACACAGAGAAGTTTCTAGTTGAACAGAAGAAACTGCTGTGGTTTAGACTATTGCGAATCAAGAAGAAGGTTTGCCTCATTACCCTTTGGAAACCCGGGATTACCAGAGGAATCTCTGCTGTTGTTTCTGTCGGTCCGTGGAGGAGAGCTCGTTGCAGCTGCAGTGATTAGTGGGAGAGAAAGGACGGAAGGTACCGAGCACGTCAAGAGACGGAAGGACGGCAGTGACTGCCCAATGTTGGTGGCGGCAGGTTAGCATTTCGTGGATCTTACCCTTTCCTTGAGACACCCGACGGACATGGGAAGGGCAACAGGAAGCACGAGCAGGAACGCAACCAGGCCCGACAGGTTCATCTCGTCTTTGACGACGTGGTGTGGACGGCGCTGCAGGATCCCAATGACGACGTGGCATGCGCTGTGAATGGCGCTGCAGAGCATCGCCAGAATGCCGAAGTCTAATTGGAACCACGGAGAGCATACACGCAAGATGTGCCCATCAATTTTGAGACTACCACGCGTAGGAATGTCGGTTGTGGAGCAGGCATTTAATCAGGTTAGATGGAAGCGGCGCAGCCGGCGAGCTCGCTCGACCCACCAAAGATACACGGAGAGAAGCATACTTGAAGAATATGTGCTGTTGGGCCTTGTGTTCCAAGCGACAACTTCAAAGAACGGCGGTCAATATCAAAATACCCAACACGGCATTGTTTGCTAGGCCTTCCCCTCGAGATAATACGTGATGCGCCACACCTATAGGACCGCCTGGCCTCTCGCTGCGGCCATCGCCGTAACCTCGGGCAACGTTGTACACGGAATTCTGGTAGGACATGAAGCCCACAGCGACAACGACGCCCACTTCACGCATCAAAACAACCGAACATATTCATTCCAATCTCTCAAAATGGACTCACATTTGTGTGGTGTGTGAGAAGGTTCGAAATCGACGATGTGGGCTAACCAGCTGTAGTGCAGGACGTAGCGTGTTGCATAGCACTTCGAAACGATGCACACGGTGATGCTCGGGATCAACGCCCCAGCCGTTAGCCTCGCGACGGACATCAGGGCCATCTCGGCGGTGGATTCTACGCATGCCGTTGGGGTCCTTCCAATGCCAGGACACCAGGAGTTTTTGGTACGGGATGCGGCAACGTTGGTTGCCTTTTCCTATTGTGCTCAAATCGTGGGTCCCCCCGCAATCTCTATTCACGTACAGAATATTGTTCTTCCTACATGCAATGATAAACAACACGCCCAACATTCCGCCCCCCACCTCTAAGCGCGTTGTGCCACGGCAACCAGTCTACTTTGGTGGCAGTGTTTGGTGGACAGAAAGCTCTCCCGTCATATGTTCGCACACCTCACCCAACGTCGTGTTTCGAATAATATCGTTTTACTTCGCCAGAGTCAACGTTTCGGCAGGCTAAACTATAATTGCTTCAACATCGCCTCTCCAGCTTCTACCACCGTCGAAGACTGGGCTCGCTCCGTCCTTAGGTGACCATGTCATACAGGCTTCCGTTGCGAAATGAGTTTTATGGGTTCTGTTCGCCTCTCCAAGAAACATGAAACACTCAGTCAGCAACACCAACGCACATGCTACCTACTACTGCGGCACCTATCCGGCACCCACAACGCTGTCGACGCGGGGTCCGGGCGCCGCAAGAAACGCTGGGGCTAGCTGTCGGAGGTGCGTTCCGAAAAGTAATTGTCTTACCTCATCGCGCACAATTTCCCCGAAATCTGATCGTATCCATTGCTCCACAGTCCCACGACGTTCCATAACGCAACCAGCAGTGTAATCTAGGATGTCGTTCAGAAGGGGACGAATTACGGAATATCAACTATTGACAAAATCTGCGAAGACAAAATGTGTGCCGAGGGAAACGAAAATATGTTGACTCTTATCGGTGGAAGAGAGGTAGATTCATAAAGTTCTTGGCAAGCCAGAAAATGCATACGGAGGAAACGCTAGGGTGTCTGCGAATCACTTTTGACTACAGCATGCGTGCTTGACGGATCATGTAGGCCGGGCGGTGCCAGAGTCATGATTACCACTGGATACGTCACGCCATAATTTCACCACAGTGAGCAGTCATATCATGTTGGTCGCGTTCCGTTAGCTCCGTCGCATCTCAGCACTAGAAGAATGAAGGACAACAATCCGGCGACCGTGCGGGACAGAGATATGGCATTCTTGTTCAATGGCGTTTCCCGCGATAAAGCTCTACTACTGTACTACTACCCAAACGTGCAGGACAAACTGTATTTTATGGCCATCGCGTCGAGCTACGACGTCGATAGCTGCTGAGTTTGATTGTTCTTTCGACAAAATCCACACTGCATCCTTGTTGTCTCGAAATTTCACCCCGCAACGGTGCACGTCAACGTGTGGTCCATGTAAACGACGATTTGCTTGTGTCATCCCTTTTTCCGCTTTTTCGTGATAATAGGGTTGAATGTACGAATTTAAGCTACAAGACCGTTCGTTGGACGCCGTATGAACGCAAAAAAGTGGACAAATGCCATCTTGTAGTGTAAGTAGAATTTCTCGGTTACACCATGAGCGGTACCACATTGGAGCAAACGTAATTGAGATCGATAGAATAGCAATTCTTCGCAACAGTTCCTGCGCCGACGAATGAATGAATGTACCAGAGGCATGCGGAAAAAATAAACTACGAGTGATATTCGATCGAATGACTCATGTGCCCGTCGGCAGCGGGGACTATATATTTCTACATCTAGAAATTCTTAGACACCTGCATCACAAGTGGGGCGCACCAGTTTCAAAATAGTCGCGGTGGTCACGCGTCCGTCCCTCTTCACGGCAGGCTCGTGGCCCTTAATCCTACCGCCGTGTGCGCCACCGAGACTAGTAGGTCTGCTTTCCCCGTCGACGCTGGTGGCGCCAGACTCGTGATCAACATCACGAACAGAGTGGGCACCTCTATCTAGGTTAAAGATGACCACTCGAGACATCCTCTTGTTACTTCCAGCGGCGGTTCTTCGCGCGGTCGAAATGGTGCAGAATCGAGTGTGTATCGAAGAGCGGCAGAGACAGAGAAAGAGAAACGACGAGCAGGAGAAACACAGCGGAATCATGGGGGGAGTTGGACATTAGAACCTGTGTTACTCGCATCGCCGTATCACGTTTTGAAACTGTTTTTGCCTTGAAGATGACCTCGGGCAAGCTAAGAGTGCGATGATACTCCAAACGTTCTTGTCCAGCAGGCCGCTTATCGCAAATCATTATTCCCTTTGTTCATGAGTATCTGGACGGACCACGGATAAATGAAGCGGTGGTGGGGGCTATGTAGACAAACACATCAATCACCGATTGCGACATTCTTGACACATACTGCGGCACCATAGCCATCCCTACGATCCGCTGTGTGAACCGCGCGCGGGAAACCTTGGTCTACCATGCCCGGTGGTACGCTCTGTGTTTCACTACTGTGTGACCCCTGTGTGCCTCTCCCCTCTCCTCGGCCTCGGGCTCTCCTCGGCCGGGTCCGAAGCTGCTTAATGAAGAGTTTTCTTGGAATGTTTCATTACAAGAAAGTCATGGGGCACTCATGGAACTTTTCACGAACGTTCGTGAAAAATGTCATGGAATTCCTTAGAAATCCATCGGCCTGCTATTTCATTCCATGAAAGTACAATGGAAGATTCATGGAATTTTCATGGACTTCCATGAAATGCTACATGTTTCATAGAAGAGTACGAATGTGCATGCCCCGTATGCCCCCTCTCAACGCGAAAGAGCAACATATCATGCCAGTGCGGTAGGGACCATACCGCACACACTGAAGCCTACAATAGGTTACACAGGAGGAAGGCCAAAAGAGTAGGTCTTGTTTTCGACAAACTTGCGTGGTTCTGGGATCGGACTATGTAGATCGTTGAATGACGAAAGGACGGAATTCCCACACAACCCGTCACGGCGTTTAGACGTGTGGAGCGCTGAGCACTCTCTTCTTGGCGTTACCCGTTTTACTTATTCACACCTCGCATGGGGATGAAACATCGATCGATGCAACGAGGTAGTCCTGGCCCTGTACCTACTGCGTCTTACTCGCCCGACAGTGTGGGTATGAATATGTCATATATATAGGTAGAACAGCTGATGATGTGAAACACATGTTCCGGGCCGAACGGTGTCTCGCTACCAACTCTTCATTCAAAAATACGATTTTTTTATAAGCGATGTACAGCACCATAATCGTGCAAGTACCACCGCCGCGTTTCTTCCACTTCAATCTCAGCTTGAAAATATCGTTCGCGGCGTTGTTCGTTTGAGGCCGCTGCTACATCTTGCTTGACTAACCGTCCTATAGTGTACGAATCAGTGACAGGTTATGGGGGCCCAGAAAAATGAAAATGTCGCGTCCCCTTCATTGGGAGGGGCTGCAGTCCCGAGGGACGAAGGTTGACTCTTGGCCTCCGTATTCATCGTGCCCCCAAATATGCACTGGAGGGACACTTTCCATACTAAAACCGAGTCAGCATTTTTTTCCAGTACCAGGCTACAGTATGCATACCCGGTACGTGCATACGCGTACCACACTGAAAATACGTTTGAAAACTGAGGGAGATTGCATGCCTTACGACTAAAAGGGTGCTACACACAAAACGCCCGACTACCCAACAGTACCTAACACATTTCTTCTACACCTTCCCAACATAACATATATGAGACACACAAGACAGCTACCAAATGCTTTCTGTGTTGAGCCTGCTACCCACAGGGGAGATGTCCCTATATGCTGTCTGGGAAGTCATAGACCTACAGGTACTTTCTGACGCTATGAAAATGCATTGCTTATCTGTCTCAGACTTTCTATATTTTCTATGATAGAGATGGATTCGTTTTGTCGTATTAAGAAGAAAAAAAAGGGGGGGAGGCTGCAAGGTCAGAAAACCAAGTTGGGGTTGGTTGTTGCGCGGCTTTAGGTCAGCAACACGCGCCCGTCACACGCAGATTGAGGCAAGGGGGAAGAAGAGCGCCGGAACGAACCGCCGCAACCGACGACGTAGTGGAGGTGGCAGCACCGCCAGCAAAGGGCAGAAAGGAGGAAGAGCACGCAGTTGCCTTCTGGTGACGCACCGCAAGAGTATTCTCTGCTTCTACTAGAGAGAGCGTGTTTGACTTCGATGTGCCCCCGCCCCCCAAAAAACACCCTCTCCCCAACGCTTGAAATGCGATACACAGCACTTCGTACAGGGCTGCCGGCCATGTGTGTGTACTTCCTGTCGCTGTATGTACTGGTGCGAGTTCGTGTGCTGGGGTTGAGAGGGCAACACAGACGACATGCACACGCATGATGCACGCACACTCAACGGACTTGCTGTGCACATATATATCTCCCGAACCGCTCGTTCGTCCGCTAGGCGGAAAACTGTCCTACTGGAAATACTGTATGTATGTGCGGAAACATTTTGGAGTGTGTGCGGACACACGTGTTGTTGGTGGCGCGCCAACTCCAGGGCCTTTGCGCTGGGCGCTGGGTTTTACTTGGGCGGCCGCTGGACATGCTCTTGCAGACTGTGTGTGTGTGCGCGCGTGTGGGTGGTGCCTGATGATGTGTTGTGTGTGATGCCTGATGTGTTGTTTCGAACAAAGTAGAAACGTTGGCATTTTTTTCCATAAAAAAAACGAGCCTCCCTCCTGACATTTTTTTTCCTCATCTTGGGTTCTGGCGAGACTGTCAGGAACGATCCTCAGAACGATGTCTTAATTCAAAATATATTCCCTTATTTCAGCTTTTTTTTTGGTCCGAAACTCTTGCAAGATGACTCTGTTCACACCGCACCCCGCTACTATACGGTGTCCAACTATATGGGAATGGAAGCTCGTTATTTTCAGTCGATCGGATGGGGAATTTTGGAGAACCTTTCGAACACACGAAAGAGACTGTACAGCAGTGGATTGTGCAATCGCATAGTCCACCGCATGCCCAATAACCTACAATACCACAGTAGACTACTGCTGTACGTATGCACTCGGAGTCTTCGTTTCCAGGAAATGGGCAACTGAATGAAACGTTCTAAAGGCAGCGAGCGGGGTA